CACATGGAAGAATACGTTCAACCTCAACCGGGCATTTAATAGACTCGCAATTATCACCACATAAAGCATTGCATGGGTGACCACATTTTCTAGTTCTTGTGCATGGCTGTTTACATTTATAGGTGGACACATCCTTATGACAAGCAATGAATTCAGTGTGACCACATCTAAGCCGTGCCTCAACCTCAACAGTACATTGACCACAATCTCCACCACAAAGTTTGGTACACTGATGACCGCAACCCTCTCTAACCTTTTCACATCTTTTAGTACATTGAATCCTTTCATGATCTGTATCTATTAAATGACATGCTTGTCCACAAGTATGACCACAATGTAAACGGTATTCACATTTACGAAGACAGCCACCTTCGGGTACATTCTTGAAGTCATCTGGACATGAAATCACAGTGACTTGTTGTGGATGATTTCTGCATACAATGGAGAACGATGGACCAATCAATTTCTCCTGTTCCAAAATTGAAAACATATTTGACCATAGTGTGTGAGCTTTTTCCAATAATTGACGATTACCGATAATAAACATACCATTTTTAGCACGACTAATTGCAACATTAATACGATTTTGAATTTTAACGAAACCACTATCATTATTTGGATTGGATCTAACGAGTGAAAGTAAAACAATATCTCTTTCTTCACCTTGGAATTGATCAACAGTTCTTATTTGAACCTTTGTGAGTGTTGGGTTATTGATATTTCTAACCTGACTTCTAATCTTTAATAACTGACCGGTATAAGGTGTTAAAATAACTAAATTATTTGCCTCATAACCCTGTTTAAGTAAAAACAATGCTAGATTACTAATGAATTTGGCCTCATAAACATTAAATTTACTTGAACCATTACTATCACAATTCTCCAATTCTTTATGGGTAATAAAAAATAGATTGCTTGGCATACCGAGAACACCAGGGTTTTGTTGGAAACGGATTTTAACTTCGGGATGGTTCTTTAAATTGTTATAAATGGGTGTAATAAATCTTGAAATATTTGGTACCATTCTTCTTTGGTATTGCAATTGTCTATGAGCTCCACCATTTTTAATAATTCTTTCAAAGAGGGATATATCAAGTTTGTACTTTTGTGATAGTTGGTAAACTTGACTTGATGGCTTTAATTGCTCATGATCACCAATTAAAATTAAATGCTCGGTTGTTTTGGGCAAAACTGAAATAATATGACCTTCTAAAATTTCAGCTGCTTCTTCAATAATGACAACTTTTGAATTGATATTATCAAACACCTTTTTCAAACGACTTGCACCAATAACTGTAGCTGCAACTACCTTAACACTCGAAAGAGCTTTTTGATATGAGCGATGTTCATATTCCATAATAATTGATGATAATCTACGATATTCTGATGCTGTCTCTTGAATTAACCCTAAAAGGCTTGTAATTTTTTTATCTAATAAGAAACGGTAATAAAAAATTCTTTGCTCCATAGCAATGTTTTTGATATCGTCAATATCTTCAAACTCCTTCTTTTCTAATTTGGTCATTGCAATAATATTTTGAATATCATAATCTGAAATCTCTGATGCACTTGATTCGAAATTTCTTTCATTCATTAATAAATTTACAATATCCTCATCTTCTTCATCTTGACCCAACTCGTCATCATTATTATTTTTATCATTATTGTTGTTGTTGGGGTGTTTATTATTATTGGTGGCGTTTAAGTCTGCTGAAATTTGTTTTTTAATTGATTTTAACCATTTGCTCCAATCCATTGAAGAAATATTTTGTTTATCTTGGTTTGAAAATTTTAAAAAATCTTCAAAAGTTAATGTATTTGAAATGTCCTGTAAATATCTCTTTAAAACTGATATAATATCATCTCTTTCGTGGTAGTAACGAGATTGATTTTTTTCTTTAATAAGAAAATTATTAAGACTAAATTTCTTCATTCTCTCATCTCTTGATCTCGAACCTACTCTAATAACTTCTTCGGTGACATTGTTTATAATTGCATTTAAAAACTGGTCCAAGGCATGGTTGGTATAGCATAATAAGAGAACTGGTGTATTTTTTGTAGAGTTTGCAATAAGATGTCTATGTATTACTTCAAAAAGCTTAATACCCAAATATGATTTACCGGTACCTGGTGGACCAACAACCAAACTTAATTCTGATTTTAGACAATGTTCGAATGCATCAACCTGTGATGGATCAAATGAACCTAAAGACTCTGGAAATTCTGTTGTTTTTAAATTGATGTTATCTGAACTAGGAAAAGTTTTATGAAGAGAGAAATAAGGATGATCTAAAATATATTTTGGCATAACTTCTCTAGCGGAACACTTTAATAGATAACTCTGGAATGGGAGCTCTTGTGGGTCTATATTTTGAAGTGAACTAAGTACGTTTCTAACCGATTCGAAATAGGTTGGTGACTCTATCATTTGGAATACATTTTCGAAAAAGAAGGGAATATTGTTGTTATCTTCATCTTCAAAGAATGAAACTGAAATACTCATTTCTGATCCTTTATCTGGTCTTTTTTCGACTGTTGCAAAATGGACTGTTTGGAAATTATCAGATGATAATACTAATAAAGACCCATTTAATAGTTTTGAAAATTTTTCCCATTTAATTGTTGATCTGTATTTAAATTCGATCAAAAAGCACAACGATGTTTTGGTTTTTTGAAATCCTATTAAAAAAAATTAATTAATAAAATATTTTATATATTTTTTTTTTAAACTATACTATTACAAACCTTTAAAAATTACATCATAATAATGATATGGCGATGATTTACCAGAGCCAACGAGTGATAAAGCTTCACGAATTGGATGCACCATATCTTCACGGAGTAAGTTGAAATGAGTATCTAAATATTCTTCAGAAGAGTCATAGATGCCAAGTTTTAAAGCCCTTAACTTTGGTAAACCTTTTGAATGGATTTCACTATTTGTTGGGATGATTGGTAGATTTTTATAAATGATATCAAAGTTATAAACAAGACCCCCCTCAATCTGGCTATTTTCTCTTTGAATTAATTTCTTTTGTTTTAAAACGGTCAACAATTGCTTGATGTGTTCTTGGTTACAGAATGTCTTTGATTCAAAAGAAACTTGGAAAATTTCTAATGGCATTAAATGGATTGATTCTCTAAAACGACTTGAAACCAAATTCATAAAATTGATTGTATTTGAAAATTCACTTAATAATTGAATTTCACCAACATAACGAGGAAAATTGAGCACATTAACAAGGAATTGAGACTGAATAATTTCGAGAATGAGCTTGTTTGAGAAAGTATCGTGAATTGAACTTTCGAATCCAGGGTGTAAAAATAGCTTGATAAACAATGAGATGGTTTGGTTATCTAAATGTGATCTTGATAAAATATCTTGAACTTGGAACATTTGAACATACAACGTTTCGACAATATCTTCTCCACCATCGGCTTGCTCTAATCTCCTTCTTAAATACGACTGCATACCAGCCGATGAATTGAATTTTTCAAAACTATCTTTTTTCTTTTGTTGGCTTTCTTTTTGTTTATTTAAGTTTTGGAATGCTTCATTGAAATCTTTTTCAAATCTATTTTTATTGTTGTTATCGTGATGGTTATTATTTCTATTACCATTATTTCTATTATTATTATTATTATTATTATTATTATTATTATTTTTATTTTTATTATTATCTGTAACTAATTGTTGTAAGGATCTTTGAAAATTTAATTTTGGGCCAAGATGGACAAAACCTAGTGCCTCTAACATTTTATCATTTGGTCTGGTTTCATTTATTTGAAGCAAAGATATACCATCAATCTGCTGATTTTTGAAACTATCTACAATACCTTCGGTAATATTTAATGATTTTAACCATTCACTAACTTTATCAATATTCCATTCTTCAATTTTATTTTTATTATCATTACTATCATTATTATTTCTATTGTTATTATTTCTATTATAATTATTTCTATTATTATTATTATTATTATTATTATTATTATTATTATTATTATTATTATTATTATTATTACTATTATTATTATTATTATTATTATTTCTATTACCCCCTCCTCTGCCTCTCTCACCTCTTCTATCACCTCTTCTATCATCCCTTCTATCATCCCTTCCTATTTCTTTCTTTTTACTTTCAGAACCACTACTACCACTAGATGTGGTGGTAGTGGTTGTCTTTTGATTAGGCTCCATTTTTTTTTTTTTTTTAGTATATATATATCATTCTGTGTTTGAATGATATCTTTTTATTTGTTAATTTAAATTAAAAACAATAATATTCCATTTTGAAAATTTCTATTTTTCAAAAAAAAATTAAAAAAATTAAAAAAAAAATTAATATATTAAAAAATAAATTTTAAATAAAAAAAATTAAAAATCAAACATTAATTAAATTAAGTTTTTTACTTTAGAAAAATGTGTTATAAATATATTTTAAAACTATAAGCTATTATTATTATTATTATTATTGTTGTTTATTTGTTAATATTGGAAATAAATAAAAAAAAAAAAAAAAAAAAATTTTATAAAAAAATAAAGAGAAAAAAAAAATAAAGAGAAAAAAAAAAGAAATACTTTTTCTTTTAAAACTAATATAAAAAAGTAGTAAAAATTTTTTTATATACTGGACCAAAATAAAATATAAACGTATGGAAATGATCAAATTTTATCGCAAAAATAAATAAAAAAAAAAAAATTTCATACAATAATAGTTTAAAAAAATAAGAAGTGTTTTGGATTTTAAATTTACAATTATTTTAGTTTATTTTTTGTTTTTTAACTTTGTTATATTTTTTTTCTTTTAAAAAAAGAAAATTTATATTTATAATTCTAAAATAAATATATTGATATTAAAATTATTTGAATAGATTGAATTTTTTTTTTGTTTTTAAAAGTATATATAATTAAATTATTATTATTTGTATTATTATTTTTATTATAAATATTATTTTAAGATTCTACGTGATTAGTATTTGGACTATGATGATGTCTC